TTGCGATGATGGTTTTAAAAGTTATACTCTGCTCCAGCACCATAAGCGATTGCATTTAGAGCGTAAATTTCCATGCAATATATGTACAAAAAAATTCATACGCTCAAGTGATCTTAAAGTGCACATGCGTTCTCACACTGGAGAAGAACCATTCGAATGCCATTTGTGTGACCGACGGTTCAAAATAAAAGTACAGCTCAATTATCATCTACAGCAACACGCTGGCATCAAACGAAAATGCGCAGAGTGTGGAAAAGAGTTTAATAACGTAAAACAATTGAAAATCCACTCTTACAAACACACCGGAATGCCATATAGATGTTTGATGTGTGATTATGGTTGCGCAAAGCGTGAAGTGTAAATTAAAATGTGTATACACATATAAGATATAATATATGATCATTAAAATTGTTTTAGGTTTAGGCACCATTTGTCGAGGATGCATAATATGACTATGACTCCCGATGAGTATCGTGCTATGTTCAAAGCAAATACCGGCCGAAATCCATGCGTGAAACCGTTAGAGGAGTTACAAGCAAAGGAGCAAAAATTGGAACATAATGATCAATGAAACGAGTTTACCTATTACTAAAAATAGTAAAATAAACAAGTAGTTTTTAAGCAAAAAACAAAACCGACTTCAATTATATATCATAAAAAAAAAATTAATGGTACCGTTAATTTCTTCATGATCCAATGACCGAATCTAACCCAAATTAGTATGGGACCAATTCGGAGGTATCACCTTTCCTTTAAAAAATTATATATAGAATTATAGAAATCGGCTACCGTGGTCCAAAGTTATGAATTTAGCGTCCTCTATTTTACTGATAAGCGAATTTTCATTTAAATTCGTTCATAATTCTATTTTTGCCCACATTTTATATGGAAGGGGAAGCACTGTGTATCCTTTCGATTGGTGTCTATTTCTTTTGGCATTTAGATGGGTGCAATTATTGCATCCTAACTTAGTCATAGCCTGGACCGACATTTTTTAGGCAACCCATGTTCAAAAGTATTCTTTTCACATGAAGTTTTATAAGAAATACGTTTCATCCGGTGGTCCGATGGGTGCAAATCGACAATATGTTCGTATCTTAGGCAAAATTTTTTCACAATTGTTGTTTCGAGATTTAAAATTAGAATGTGTGTGTGAGTTTGAGTTTTGAATTTTAAAACTATGTATATTGCTTGAAAACGGACTGCTTCTCGATGGTTTTACCATCTTATGTTTTTATCATGAAACAAACCCTACATGCAAAACTCAATTGATCACATGCTTTTAAGTTAAGACAATTTATGTACAGGGTCCGAGTTTCCTATCGGCTGCTCTGGGGGGACCATATTATAATAGAAATCCACGCCTTTACTGATAAATGATCCATACATATTAATTAGCCGATGGGCAAATATTTAATAAAAAGAAATTTTCTGTTTATTTTTTTGTTAGCCCGTGAATTCAATTCGGAAACTTCTGTTAATTTACATGAAAAGCGGGTTCATTTGTCAAAGAAACCCAAATCAAAGGAATGTCCGATATGCCACAAGAAATTTGATAGAGACTATTTCAAGCAGCACATTCAAAATGTTCATACATCAGAGCGTAAATTTGTCTGCGATATTTGCGATGATGGGTTTAAAAGTTCTACTCTGCTCCAACACCATAAGCTATTGCATTTTGAGCGTAAATTTCCATGCAATATATGTACAAAAAAATTCATACGTTCAAGTGATCTTAAAGTGCACATGCGTTCTCACACTGGAGAAGAACCATTCGAATGCCATTTGTGTGACCGACGGTTCAAAATAAAAGTAAAGCTCAATTATCATCTGCAGCAACACGCTGGCATCAAACGAAAATGTGCAGAGTGTGGAAAAGAGTTTAATAACGTTAGACAATTGAAAATCCACTCTTACAAACACACCGGGATGCCATATAGATGTTTGGTGTGTGATTATAGTTGCGTAAAGCGTGAAGTGTAAATTAAAATGTGTATACACATATAAGATATAATATATGATCATTAAAATTGTTTTAGGTTCAGGCACCATTTGTCGAGGATGCATAATATGACTATAACTCCCGATGAGTATCGTGCTATGTTCAAAGCAAATACCGGCCGAAATCCATACGTGAAACCTTTAGAGGAGTTACTAGCAGAGGAGCAAAAATTGGAATATAATGAACAATGAAACGAGTTTATCTATTACTAAAAATAGTAAAATAAACAAGTAATTTTTAAGCAAAAAACAAAACCGCCTTCAATTATCATATACAAATTTAAGAGTACCGTTAATTTCATGACGATCCAACGACCGGATCTAACCCAAATTAGTATGGGAGCACCTCGGAGTACCACCTTTCCTTTAAAAAATTATATATAGAATTATAGAAATCGGTTACCGTGGTCCAAAGCAAGGTTGTTGCGAATATTCGCATTCGCAACCGCGGAGCTTTCGCATTTATTTTAAAATTCGATTTCGCATTTCCGTACGTCCGAGATCCTTCAATAGGTATTTCCAGCGGAAATGTTCAACATCTAGCTATAAAGAGAATCGACTATTCGTGCGCTAAAAGATAACCTTTAATTAGGTATGAAGCACTATCAAACTATCGAAAATTATTTGTCAAAGGTCTGTTGAAAAAACTGGATGCATCGCTAGTTTTCTCTTCTACTTTTTCTTAGAAAAGTGTAACAATTATTTTTCATAAAACGGCTTCTTATGATTAAGGTCTGTGTTTTCTTTTATTACTTAGCAGAAAAACGCCAAATAGTTTTGACCGGTTTTACTATGGAAATACTCTGTGTATTTGCGTTGGCGCTGGCAAAGTTGGTCCCCAATCAACATTTAGGGCCGATTTAAAATGAATATTTAAATAGCACAAGGTTAATTTTGAATTGGTTTTTAAATGCCACTTAACTTTCTTTGGGTTTCAGACATGATACAATAATTTTTAGAAGGTAGTTTCACTTCTTCTTATCCGCCATGTTAGCTATCTGACAGAAAACGTGTTTCGTATTTTTTGTTGTACCAACTTTTTCAAAAAAAAAAATCCAGCTTTTGGCGTTGGAAAAATAAAACAAAGAAAAGCCAAACATAAAAGTAGAGAAATTTTCGAATATTTTGTAATAATTTTCTTCATAAAAAATTAACTGCTGCTTTCGTGGATACTGCAACACACGGAATAGATGTAAGGACACAGCTATAAGAGCCACCGCACACCACAGACTTTATCGGCCGCCTCTTTAAATGATAGGGCTCGCTTGAAATATGTACATGAAGATGTATGGAGGTGCGCACACTACACCAGCTTAATCGCTCTGACCAATAAGTTGTAGTGCAATGGAAAGACTAGCGAGCACATCTAAATTGGCGGCCGATAAAGTCCGTGGTGTGCGATGGATCTAATCCATTATAAACAAGAAATATTGCTGTTATATTTTCATTTTTATGATTTTTATTCATGTGATTAGCAGTGGCAAAAATGTATGTATAAAATACGTATATTTATATTAAAAATTAAGTGATCAGTTATAAAACATATAAATCTTTACATGTTCTGTTAAAAAATATCTAAAATAACAAGCGATAATCCCCAAGTTCTACATCGTAGCAGTGGCCTCATTGCGTGCTTGTCACAGACACGGTTTATGTCAAAAATTTTGAAGTGAAACTACCTTCTAAAAATTATTGTATCATGGGTTTCAGATCAATTTTGTCAAAATATGCCAAATAATTGGCAGCACTGCTGCTTATTCCTTGAAATTGTTCTTACATTTGCTTGTTTGTTTACATTTTGTGCTGAACAGCTGATTGTTTTTTGGTGGAATTGATTACACAACCTACCGATCAATTTTGGTTGTTTGGTACAAACACAGGGTTGCATATCTCATATTTAAATAGCCAATATTGGCCTTTTAAGTGCAGATTAAATGTGTGATCTGAGAATGAATAATGGAAGATAATCAACAATCTCTACTTAAGTACACTACTACACCTGAAACTGGGCCTTAGCCATTCAACTTTTTTTGTGCAACCCTGCGTGAGTTGAATGCAAAATAGCCTCGTGCGAACACCTTTTTAAATTCCTCTTTGGAGTAGGGATGTTCCATGACCAATTCTGGTTTTCGATTGAATATATTAATTATATATATATTATATAATATCGCATTAAACGTTACATCGAAATTTATTCGATGTTTCCGATGAATCCGTTAGCCAGTGATCGGATTACCACATTGTGCTAGATCTTGCACTTTTTTGAGCATCTACCACACAAGGTCTGAAATCTACCACATATTCGCGTTTTTAAGTATTTTTATTTTTGCTCGACATAATATTCTTAATTTTAAGAGCAAAAATTGTCCAACAATAAACACTAACAACAGGCAGAATGGGAGGATAAAATAACCTGTAAAATAGTAAATTTTCTCAATATTCAATTTTTCGACAGGAAACGTGGTTTTGTTAAAAAAATTGCGATTTTTGTGAAAGTATTAGCAAATTTCAGTGCATCTAAAGCTTTTAAAGCGTTGTTTAATTTTACTTTCGAATTGTCAACATCGGCAAAGCACAAGTAGCTGGAACGTGCCAAGTTTGTTCGCTACATCGTGATATGATAAAAAGAAAAGCTGGTAGCACTCCGCGAGGTTCCAGAAATTTTTCAAAATATGTTCGAAAAATATCTTGATATGCTTTACACTGTCAAGCAAAAAAAATTGCTAAAACTCAACGCAATTTTTAGCAACTTCAATCTTGAAGTTTTTTATAACAAAATAATTTTTTTGTTAGATTCTGATTAAAACGTTTGCAATTTAGGTGAAACCTTGCAGAATTTTTTTTAATTATTGTACAAAGTTTGATCCAAAATCTGACATCTACCACATTTTTTTGAAATCTACCACATTTTTTTCCAGATTCTACCACATAATTTTTATAGTCCGATTACTGCCGTTAGCCTCGCGATTAGGATGTCAGTGGCAAAAATACATCGATGTTTTTCTTTGATGCGATGCATCGATATTTTTCGATACATCGAAAGGCATACATCGATGCATCGATTTGCATAAGATCTTTCTGATAATAGTTGTGTTTGTTTATAAATTATCCAGTAACTTGCCAGCAACTCTCCAGTAAATTTATTTCTACGAATTCGCTCTCATAGAAAAAATTTGCAAAAAAGTACGCGAACGCTTTTCCAGTAATAATTTGCAAGTTTCATGAACAGCTGATAAATTGGTGGTTTATTCGTAGCAAATTCCTAATAAAACAATATATTTTATATTTAAATAGGTTTAGTTTGTGAATTTCAACAATAAAAACCCACAAACAGTTTCCTTATTTGTTTAAATTTCATCCAGCAACATGCGATCAGATGTTTTTCGTACTGGCAAATTCTTACTAGTAAAAATTTATCCAGTAAAAACTTGCAGCTACAACTGTAATTTTTCGCTCTCTCAATTTCACCTACTTTGCAAGTTTTTGCGTACGAAAACGCCAAAACATGAAAATTCGTAAAAACTTTTACTGGAACTGAGTAAACAAACGCAACTAATGTTTCACAACAAAATATGTTATTAGCAAAATTGTACAAAGCTGGAAATAAATTACTGCAACTGAGCTAGTTATGTTTCTAACGGAACTTTTTGGGGCCACTTCAATTTTTTGGTTAGTCACATCTTTTTTTGTTTTTTGTACAATTAAAAAGACCAATGACGGTTCAATGAACTACGATGTCAGTTTTGAAAAAACATCGATGCATCGATACATCGACTATTTATACATCGAAAGGAAAAATTACGATGCTTCGAAGCAAAACATCGATATTTTCGATGCATCGATGTTTTTCCGAAATCCCTACTATCGATCCCTAACTTGTAATATCTAGAAAATTTCAAGTAGAAACGCGAAAAATGTTCCAGCTGAAGTAAAATTAAACACTGGTAAACAAATTATAAGATGCCAATTTAATCTATGCCAATTCGAGCTACAATTTACTCTTATATTGTTAAAAGTTAATTGACCTTGTGTTGAAGTGGGAATAAGGTGCTTAAAAATGCAGTGTCGTGCCTGTATGCAAATGGACTGCGTCGGGGCTGTGGAAATGTGTTGTGCCATATCGGCAGATGGGAAAACATTGTGCGATTACTTTAACGATTGTACACAGCTCCATGCAACATCCACTGATAATCTTCCACAACTATTATGCTTAAATTGCACACAAATTGTGCGTTCAGCCTATAATTTCAAGGAAATCGCTCGTCGCTCTGATGAAGAACTGAGGAAAATTTTAGTGTTTCCAAAAAGTGAGCCTGAGTTGATTTATGCTAACACTGAGCAACCGCAAGTATGGAATAGAAGTATTAATTTATATATGATAAACAAATTTATATAAAATTCACATGCTTTCATTAGGATGCTGTGGAATGGACAAATGATCCCTTAGCTACGATACCACCAAGCCCTGCTGCCATTGAATATTCAATAAGCATACCTGAACTAGATATACCTACGATAGACATAAAATCTGAGAAATCCGAGGAATTAAGTGAAGAATGGCAAGATGGGGAAAGAGGTGATAATGAAGTGTTGAGAGGCAGGGTGACACATCCTTGTAAATTATGTGATTGTATATACACTACGCAAAAAGAGCTAAGAAGTCATATTTTTGACATGCATAAGCGTAAGTATTTCTTTTTAATCAATCATATCGTTTGTCAAATTTCAGCTTTGAATCATGTCTGAATGGTCAAGTGAATACGGTAATTTCTCTTTATAGCGCATATCGTCTGCATTAAATGTCCAAAAGTCTTTGACTTCCCTAATGAGTTACAACTGCACGAATCTCTTGTTCATGGAACTGAATCACCAGTGCAGTGCCCCTGGTGCAAAGAGTATCACTCAAGGGAGGTATTTTATAAACACTTGCGATCTAAGCACAGCAATTCCTATTCTAAATATTTTCCGAGAAAGCGAATACGTAACCGCGATTCAGGTGAAAATACCTCGTTTCGTTGTGAGCATTGTGAACAGTATTTCTCATCTGTCCTCGAGTTAGCCGATCACATTCAGGAGCATACATTTGATTGCCCAATATGCTCGATGAGCTTTAAAAAACATGGCACTTTCAGGGCACATGTAAAACGAATACACAATCATTCTATAAGTAGCTTAAGAGCTTTAATTTCTGAGGAGAAGGAAGAAAATAAGCCCTTTCAATGTTCCTTGTGTTCAAGACAGTTCAATAAGAAAAGATCTTTTCAAGATCATATGAAACGTAAACATAATCAAAGTATGAAAAGGCTTCCCGAAGATGACGAAGAGGATAAACTGTATAACTGTCCAATCTGTAATATGTGCTTCAAAAGCCATAGTGCCGTCTATTATCACAAGAGGCGGAAGCACCCCGACAGCGCAACAACAACTGAAGGCGATATAAATGCAAGCAGTAATATCGATACTGAAAAAGTGGAAAACGAGAATACCGAAAGCAGTGAATTAATTAGATGTAAATTTTGCAATAAGGAAATACCTGGTAATCGAATAAAATATCACGAAAAACGACATATTTATGCTCTGAACAGGAAAAGAAAATACCTGTGTTCATTTTGCCGTAAGTAGAGACAGAATTTAAACAACCTGTATGGTTAAACCAAATTATTTGATAACTTATTTTAAGCAATTTAACATATCTTGAAATTTAAACTTATAAATAAAGCACCGTCCCGTATATACAAACACTTGTGGTCAGCTGATTAAGTCAACTGATATTTTGACCAGTTTTGATTTGGATATTTTTCTTTTGTTTATTTAATGTTTATTATTTTTTTCATAACAGTCTGGCACATTACATAGATAATAAGCACCATATATTGATGGCTGAGTGGAATATCGACCTTCTGAAAAACCTTTCAAGAAGGCACTTGTTCAGAATTTGATTGAAGAACGCCCTATTTTAGAAATTTATTGAAAACACCCTATCGCAGAATTTGGTTGAAGAACGCACAGTGGGAGAAATGGCGAGAAAGCTGTCCAATATTGCAAAAATTAAAGTTGTGCGGCTGTTTCAAAACATGGTAGTTTGTCAAGAAGAAGGTCCATTACGTAGTGGATGAAAAGTATAAGGGACCCTTTTTTGTATCTTCTTCACTAGAGTAGTTTGAACTTGCTATTCTCGCTAAAGTTTGTGCTACTTTTTTCAACGTCTATAAAATTGTGCTTCGAATATTTGATTTTAAAATAGTGGTTGAAGCACTTAATTCTTTTTTTTTTTTTTGGGAGATAGAGAGCGTTTCTGACGGTATCTTAAGTAATCTAAATCATTGAATTTAAATTTTTCATACAAGTAAAAATATCTAAAAATTAATTGTAAGAGCTGTCTCGAATATTTTTTATTTGATTGTTGAAAAAGTTGTGATCGCGGAAGATAATAGCAAAAACAACTTACTTCAAGAATTAAAAAAGAAAGTAACCACATTCGTCCACCTTATGTTGTATTGTAAGAATAGGGCAATAATATGCTAACTGCTCATTGTTTTGTGGGGGAAGCTTACAAAATCGCTTTCTTTGCAATATTAAAGATGTTATAGGCAAAGAAAGAACACGTGATAAATTCATCCGCTTAGGCTTAAATTAAAGCTAGAACTCTTTCCTACGTTCCCTGAAATACCATCCCAGTACCTTAACCTGATGGTCACTTTTGGTCATTTAATGAAAAAAAAAGTTAAAATGACTACATATAAGTGACTTGGGTCGAGATGCAGGGTCAAGGACAGTAGTCGAGAGTTCTGGCTTTAATTTAAGCCTGAGTGGAAGGTTTTATCACGTTTTCACTTTTTCCTAGAGCTTCTCAAATATTTCGGAAAACGTGATTTTTTTACACTCTGATTTCGTTTTCACAAAATAGGGCGTTGTTGAAAACATTTCTGAAATAGAGCATTTCCGAACTGGCTGCCGAAATAGGTGGATCTTCCACTTAGCCATCGTTATGTAAATCCTCATTTAAAAATGTATCCAAAAATTATAAAAATTCAACATATTTTACCAATTCCACCAAAAAATTCAAAATTTTTTCAAATTTTAGATATAGAGTTTTTTAGGATAAGATGCAAGTTTCCACACGTTTGAAAATCGCGTTGAATTTTAATAATTTGTTAGCTGGTGGTGTTGAGCATTTCCTTCCATATAAAGTGTGCTCTACAATTTCTTTTATAAATTATAAGAAATCAAAGCGCTTTTCGAGTGTCTTTGTACATTATTCCACATACATACATTTTTCTAAAAATTCTGAATAAAAATGTCACTTAACTTAATCAGCTAACCACAAGGGTTAATAAATTTGTATGTACCCTGTAGGAAAAGTTACTATTTCTGAACTAGAATGCTGCCAGTTTGCGTTTCAGCCCAACTAGTTCACAGTCTATAATTTTTCAATGTAAGCGACTGGTATTTTAAACTTGGCGGGGTCACACGAGATGCCGCTCCTGTCAAAAGAATAATTATACAATTTTGCGCGCAGCGCTCCAACAGTCGCAACTTGAGAGGCGCCATTTGAGAGCTCCGAGTTCGAATCCTGCGGTAGAGAATTTTTTTAATATAATTTATTTAGTTTTTTCGTTTATTTTCTTTTTATTAATTGTATAGTTTTAAAGAGAAAAATGATTAATTTTTATGGTATTTTGAGTATTTACGTTTTATTTAGGTTAAATTTACAATTTTTAATTTGCATATATTTAAATTGAAATAATTGACTTACTTTACTTTATTCACCTCCAAGCGGGCTCGAACTTGAAATATCAGAAACAGTGGTCTTCACTCGACGCTACAGCCGATATTTGTGAAGAAACCAATTAAATGCATTTTTATTTTTAATATTTTTATTGAGCTTTGTACCACGATTGTTTATTAGGAAAAATTGAAAAAGCAACAAAGTCTAAGCGGTAGAAGTTATAGCAGCTATTTCAGAGATCACCACATCTCCTCATCAGACTTCTTTCTGCTGAAGTCTAGAAAAAAACATTCACAAACTGCATTTTAGTTTTGGTATATAATTCAAATACAGATGTCACTGTCACAGTTGTTCGTAGGTCGTCGCTTTAGCACATAGTAGTTAATTAACTAGTATTTTACTGGCTGGTTTGGCATTTTACTGCGGGGAACTGGTATAATTATAGTCCATGACGAACTGGTATAACTTCCTCATTTAATACCAGTTTTTGAACTAGAATTTCTACCAAATAGTTTACCTTTTTCTACGAGGAACTGTTATAATAATAGTTCATAACGAACTGATATGACTTTTATCCTTAAATAATAGTTGATGAACTGGAATATGTGCATACTACTTCAGCTTTTCCCTGCAGGGTACTTGTGTGAACTACTACTTTAAGAAAAATCACTGACTAATTCTTAGCTTTGGATTTGTTTATCCTTTTCAGCGCGAGAATATAATTCTGAAACTTCGGTTAAGTTACATGAAAAGAAGATTCATCTGCGCGAAAAACCAGAACCGAAGGAGTGTCCAATATGTCAGAAAAAAGTCGATCCACATTATCTTAAACATCATATTGACAATGTCCACACTTCAGAACGTAAGTTTGTCTGTGATGTTTGCGGCGATTCGTTCAAAAGTTACGTTCTGCTTCACAGTCATAAGCGATTGCATTTAGAGCGAAACTTTCCGTGTACGGTATGTACTAAAAAATTCATACGCTCCTTTGATCTCAAGGTACATATGCGTATTCACACTGGGGAAGAACCGTACTCGTGTCATATATGTGATCGACGTTTTAAAATCAAAGTACGACTCAACTATCACTTGCAGCGACACGCTGGCATCAAACGAAAATGCAAAGAGTGCGGAAAAGAGTTTAATCACGTCAAACAATTGAAAATCCATTCTTATAAGCACACTGGCATGCCCTATAGGTGTTCAGTGTGTGATTATGCTTGCGCACAACGTGATGTGTAAGAAGTTGAAAATTCCTATGTTATGCAATTATATTATTTAATTTATTGTAACTCAAATATTTCAGATTTAGGAAGCATTTATTGCGAATGCACGATATGACAATGACCCCGGATGAATATTGTGCGATGTTTAAGGCAAATACTGGTCGGAATCCCCACGTTAAAACTCTGGAGGAATTGCAATCGGAGGCGCAGAATATGGAGCAAGAGGAATTATCAAACTAACGTTTAAAATTTCGGGCCTAAGTAGCATAGTGGCGAAATTGCTGGTAGGTTAATGACTTGAATACATTTAGCTTGTTTTACCTATTAAATTGTATTATTTAATTTTTTTTTTTGCGAAACGAATAACAAATAAAACTAGTTTTTTATTTGGTTGACGAATCAAATCGCAAATAAATTTTATTCATGATTTAAATCGTAATTTAAGATTTGATGCAACTTTCAATTCAGAAATACATTTTATTTTTGGATTTACGTTTTTTTATAGAAATCTTCCCACCTTAACACGGCAAAATATAGGTAAAAGCCGAAATTTATATATGGGTCATTCCATCGAAAAGAGGGAAACGACATAAATTTAAATATGCCCTTATTATCTCTATTTCTGTAGTAATCTATTTTTAAATGACTACATTTCATTAACCTGTGGGAAAATATTAAAAAAACCCAAAGTTTTAATTTTTGTCTATGGAAACTTTTATTTCATGCATAATTACTTTACAGCAGTCACAAGGAGATGTCCCACCAGTCACAAGTTTAAATATTTTTTAATATTTCTGTGAAGAATATATAAACCTCATTTTTATTGAAATCGAAAGCGTATAATTCTTATTTTACAACTTTGTACGTCGTTCGTGAAAATTAAATGTTTTGGCTAAAATTCATCTTGAGTGACGAACAAAAGTATTGACACGGTGAATTTTTCGCGATATATGCAACGTTTTTTATTCTTATTTATTTGTGATAATTTTTTATAAAAATATGGTTCATAATAATAATAATCGCGTTGATTTTTGGCAATTTTTTTCACGCAGGTTCTTCCACACAAAGTATGTCCGACAATTATTTTTTGTATGGAGATATTCCACCTTCCACTAAAAAAATTGCAAAAAATCAACGCGATTTTCTAGGAACTTCAAACTTACAGTTCCTTATACTAAAATCAGATGGGCTATAAAACTGCACTCTTAGAATTTTTCTATATATATATATATATATATTCCGACGAACTGATAACCACCTCTTTTTTTGGAAGTCGGTAAAAAAACAGATTTTGTGAAAATTTTTACAGAAAATTGAAGGACAAATGAAGAAGTAATGAGTGGTCAAATGAAAACGAGCATTTATTTTATGTATGAACAAGTAATTTTTAGCAAAACAAAACCGACTTAAAAAAAAATATATATATTTCATGATCCAATAATCGGATTTAACCCAGTATGGGACACTACCTCTCTGTTGCAGAAAGAATTATCGAAATCGGTTGACGTGGTCCAAAGTTATGCGGTAACATACTTAAAAAAAAAATATTCCGACGAACTGATAACCTCCTCCTTTTTTGGAAGTCGGTTAAAAATTAGGAGCAAATAATGTTACCCATACGCCATGTGCACTCTTTTCTGCCAATTTTTCATACCAAAATTTCTTACGCATTTTTTTCACCACTCATTCCTTTTTTTATTTAGTCATCGATAGTTCCTTGACTTGTTCGTAAGAAACCAGGCTTTAACACAAATAACAAGAAATTTACACAGAAACTGTTATTTTTAAAATTTTTCATTTGTTAAAGTTTAATTTTTTTATTTTTGTCATTAAAAACAAAAAATTTGGAATGTTGGAACTATCAGTCCTATCGGAACTTATGGAGAATTTTGTTAGATTTCATTTGCCGTATTTCGTATTACGATTGTTAAGTGGAACTATTTTTCGTTTTAAGCTGAATAACAGTAAATTGAAAATGTCTCGAAAACGTATCCATAGAATAAAAAATTGACCCGATTTTGGAATCAGCGCGCAATTCTATATAGGTGGCACACATTGAACATTTGTGCTGTAAACCAGTGTAATGTGCAAGTTTAAGCGGCTAAAAATTACCGTTGGAATAAGTTGGAAAATAATAAGGAATAAACATCCGAAACCGGGATCCACAAAATGGTCCGGGGTTGGATGCCTAATACCATGTTCGGACTCACAACGAAAATACTGAAAGATGTTCGCACCGGCTGGTAGTGTTTTCGTTGACATTTATTTTATACTTTCTTTACAGTTGTGCTACGAAAAAACGAAATCAATATCTTTGTCTTTCATTTTCTTATCTTTAGCAACCTTTTTCTTTTGTTCATATTAGGGATTTAAAAAACATCGATGTATCGAGCAACGACAACGATGTTTGTCGATGTTTTTATGAATCCGATGTTAAGTCAAAACATATCGGAAGATGTTTTTACTAATTTTTCACCATTCCGTTTAACAAATTCTTAAATTCTAATTAATAAATGTACTTATCGATGCAAGGAATAGTCTAATTGCTTTAAAACTAGTGAAATTGTAAAATTGCTTAGCGTCATCACTCATTTTGCCAAACGCCATCAGATGAAAAGCCGGAAGGCCGCTAATAAACAACTCGTATGTCGTTCTAAACAAAAATGTCAATACAATTACCTAATACTAAACACGCCACATATTGACAAGCTTTAAAAATTAATGTTTAGCATATTTACTTGTAATTTTTTATAAAAATGTAGTTCATTAGTAAACAAAAACTATAAATCCAATTCAAAATAGTGTGCAATATTAAAAAAAAAAACAATCGGTAAAAAAATCGATGTTTTAAATCGATACATCGACTACCATCGATGTAATTTGTCGAAACATCGATTCTTCAAACATAGATAGTTTCATTGATTTACAACCCTAGTTCATATTTTAATTTGGCCAGCCTACCACTTCGATAAATAATCGAAAAAAAAACTAGTGAAGACACCAATTGGAACGTGAGTTTTCAAGTAGTTTTCAGCGAAAACTGGTTTTCGTTTGACAGATTTTACATGGACGAAAACACATGTTTTAGGTCGAAAACTAGTTTTAGCAACGAAAACATGTTTTCGATGTCGGTCAGCACATGGTATTAGATATGGGTCAATTGTTAGAATTGTGAAATTTCTGGCAAGGGTATTAATATTAATATTAAGAATATTCATCAAACCTTATAAATGCATTGTAAACCGTATAAACTTATAATTGTGTAAACCTTATAAATTAACTGTCAAAATTTGTATAAAGACTCGTTTACACATTTCTGATAAATTTCTCCAGCGATCTCACTTAATAAACTTGATAAACTGAAGCCAATGCAACTCTGTCGCACCTCCAGCCATGTTTTCTTGGGCAATAAGCGGGGATCCGCATAAAAATTTTACACGCAAATTCAACAACAACGATATGATCCTGATAGAGATCCGGTTCTATTTATTATCCCTTCTGTTTGTTTTATTTCACTGATAATTTGGCCGCAAAGTTTGGTAGCGGTGACAAATGAATTCATACACAAACAGACATTCTGCCATTGTTTCTTCTAACTTGCTTCAAATAAATAGCCTTTATGTTATGTGTATATTTATTTAAATAGACATTACCTCGTAAATATAATTTTTCCCATTTAGTAAGTTAGTTTCTATAATTTCTTTATCCTCGTGCTAGTAGTATCAAGTTACTGATACTGAGCTCGATGACCGAAGAAAACACGACTATTGTCGCAAGTATAAACGAAAAGAGAGTATGGGTCGATCATGTAACACAGTGCGTAGGCTTATAAGATTATCTGCTTGATAAAGTTATCGGTTTAGATGAATACCACTATTAAGTAAGACTTAGATGCTTGAAATGAATTTATGAAAAGAAAATTTTAAGGGGGGTATTCAAATTTATTTACTTTCCATATCAAACAGTACCGTAAATATGTGTCAATCACACGTTTTATAGCAAATTAAGCAATTTTTTTTACACATTTATTATTAAACAATAATTTTAATTGATTCATTATAATAACTTTAATAGCTATGATTGGTGGCTGTATAATTGGCAGTTTTTATAGAGTTTTCAAATAAAAGAAAGATTGACATAAAGAATCGATTAGAATCGAGTAATTCGAATCTCGCCGTCGATTAATCTATTCCAAGAATCCTAAGAAATAAATAAAGATTCGAGAATCGATTATTTTTCAAAACTCCATCCCTAGGCCAGCCAATTGACAATAAAGGCCCGTCCACATACAACTTTGGCGTTGCGTTGGCGCTGGCGTCGCTTTGACAGCGGCGCGCGTAACGCCCGTGCTTGCTACAATGAACGCTTAGCACAGAATACTTTGGTCACTAAATTAACATACTAGCGGCTGATAAATCAAAATTTTTACATCAATAATTGCATTAAAAACTATATTTCTTGCCCGCATTTGATTAAAAATTAAAATTAAATCACATAATTTTGATTACTTAGAACAGCTGACGAACGACGCGCGCGAAAAGTTGAGAGTTGGCCATCTTTCTGCGTTGTGTTGGCGTTGGCGTTGCCCAACTTTGGTTATATGGAGACTTTCATATAAATGCATGTATTCATAGTCAGCTGTCGAAGCGACGCCAACGCCAACGCAACGCCAAAGTTGTATGTAAACGGGCCTTAAATCCCAGCTAGCGTATTAAAGATGATAAAATATGACTTCCAGTTCGATAAATATGTCTAAAATACGAAAACACAAGTTTTAGGTCGAGAACCAGTTATAGCAACAAAAACATGTTTTCGATGTCGCTCCGAACATGGTATTAGAACTGTCGTTTGCTAATCGTTGTACATGCATTGCTTGTTTATATTTTATGGGGAAAATTAGTGAAAAAGTTAGTATTTGCATTAAAATTGCATAAAAATGAGAATTTTTTGCATAAGATTGTGGAAACTATTAAAAAGTGGATAATTGCAATAAAATTCAATAAATGTGAGAATTTAACTACAAAATATGACGAAATTTTAAAAAGTCTCTACGTGCGTGCACAAAACTCAATTCAGGAAAAGAAAATATATTACTGAAAATTTATGGTTAGAGTTGTTGCAGTCAGAAGTTGCAGGTTTTAGTCCGAAGTTTTTCTTCCCGCAAGTTCATGAAAAGTGTCAAACGATAGGCAGGGTTGCTTTTGTAAACAAAAACAGATAGCAACGAACATTAAGCGCCACGGAGACAATCAAATAAATACGTCAAGCATTGCATATGTGTGAGATTGCCTCGTGTCTTGCCCGCAAACGTTCAAATAAACGCGTTAATGCAACAAACAATTTATTTTTATTGTCCGCGCACTTGCTCACCACGACGGTCAGAAGGCAAGTGCGCTTGTTTTTTGTCAAGCAAAACGCGAGACGGTTGATAAAGATATTTGATCGTCTCCATGGCGCTTAACATTAAAAAAAAATGGATGTAGTTACAGGAAAAGTGGTTTTTCGCGTTCCAGGTGACTTTTATTTTTTCTTTCTTGCTCCTCTCTTTCAAGAGAGTAATTTTGTTATTTGACAGTTTTACAGGTTTTTACACGAAGTTATCTGGAACGCAACTTATGTATGATTACACGATCAATGTGCAGAAGTCAATCAAAGGTACATTAGGGCTGTTCAGGATCTTGTGCATATGCTCATGGATTTGTATATTCGTTGCATTTGTAAATTCACAACAATAACATGCACACGGTTGCCATGGCAACAAGAAAAAAAATTGCAAATGCAACTCCAACTGCAAATCTAAGACCACTTCCACAACATCCTGAACAACCCCAGTAATTTTTTTATGGCAGTAAAATTGAATGTTTAGCGCAAATAATACTTTTTGGATTATTTTCCTAGGTTGATGAGAAGTTGGTAAAAAAATTTAATTTATTAAAAAAAAAATTATAAAACAAAAATCGAAATTTTACAAAGTGATCACTTTATTTTCTAGCTAAAAATCGCGCGGGCTTTTGACATTTTTTTTTGCTGTTAGTGTGACGTATGGTCTTCCATACAAAGTCTGTCCGAAACGTTTTTATATGGAGGAAAGTGTACATAAATAAATTTGTAAAACTTACCAATAGCTGATGCTCTGAGTTCACAGTATGAAATAGTGTTGTGGAATATTTCTGCTGGAGCTGCAAAACTATCGATAGTTTATATCCCCATCAATAGTTTTGAAAAAACAATCGATGGCCGTCGATAGTCTCAAAGAAAATAAACTATCGATAGTGCCATCGATAGTTTTGTAACTATTGTTTACTATATTGAAGAAAAGTAGAAATTATTAAACGCGTTAAAAAATAAATCAAAATATAATTAATGCACGCAAAATACACGTGAAGGTTGCAAAGTTCGTATATCTATGAAAGTGTATCTAAAGTATCTATGAGTGAAACTTTGCTAGTGAAACTGCACGCGATCTAACAACAAATTAATAAAATACTTAATAATAAATTCAAAGAAGTGATAAATGTAAATATATACGTTTCTAAACATCCCCGCCAATCATTGCTAAATCACCCAAAAACCGATGTATGTGTTGGAAAGCCAACACAAAGGATCTTATGTTCCGACATGAGTCAAAGAGTTTGTTAGCCTTGTATTGAAGTGGAAATAAGTTGTTCAAATATGCAGTGTCGTGCCTGTATGCAAATGGACTGCGTCGGGGCTGTGGAAATGTGTTGTGCCGTATCGGCAGATGGGAAAACATTGTACGATTACTTTAACGATTGTACACAGCTCCATGCAACATCCACTGACAATCTTCCACAACTATTATGCTTAAATTGCACACAAATTGTGCGTTCAGCCTATAATTTCAAGGAAATCGCTCGTCGCTCTGATGAAGAACTGAGGAACATTTTAGTTTTCCCAAAAACTGAGCCTGAAATGATTTATGCCAACACTGAGCAACCGCAAGTATGAAATACACATTTTGTATTTGTTAAAAAATTATAATTTAATAAAGTCAAAATGCTTTCATTAGGATGCTGTGGAATGCACAAATGATCCCTTAGCTACGATACAACCAAGCCTTGTTGCTATTGAATCGTCAATGAGCATACCTGAACTAGATATACCTACGATAGACATTAAATTTGAGAATCCTGAGGAATTATGTCAAGAATCACAAGGTGATGAAAGGGGTGATAGTGAAGTATTGAGAGACAAAGTGACGCATCCTTGTAAATTATGTGATTGCATATACACTACAAAAAAGGAGCTAAAAAATCACATTTTTGACATGCATAAGAGTAAGTTTTTCTTTTTAATCAATCATAACGTTTGTCACATTTAAGTTTCCAATCATATCTGAATCTGGTTAAGTGGATACAGTAATTTCTCTTTCTAGCGCATATTATCTGCATTAAATGTCCAAAGTTCTTTGACTTTCCCAAAGAACTACAACTGCACGAATCTCTTGTTCATGCAACTGAATCACCAATGCAATGCCCCTGGTGCAAAGAGTATCACCCTAGAGAGGTCTTTAATAAACATTTGCGATCTAAGCATTGCAAGGCCTATTCCAAATATTTTCCGGGAAAGGAAATAGGTGATCGTGGTTCGGGTGACAATACCTCGTTTCGTTGTGAGCATTGCGAGCGATACTTCTCATCTGTTCTGGAGTTAGCCGATCACATTCAAGAGCACGCATTTGATTGCCCAATATGCTCGATGAGATTTAAAAAACATAGCACTTTCAGGGCGCATGTAAAACGAATACACAATCATTCTATAAGTAGCTTAAGAGCTTTAATTTCGGAGGAGAAGGAAGAAAATAAGCCATTTCAATGTTCCATATGTTCTAAACAGTTCAAGCAGAAAAGATCTTTTCGAGATCATATGAAACGTAAACATAATCAGATCATTAAAAAGCCTGAGGAGGACGAAAATAAACTCTTTCAATGTTCCCAGTGTTCAAGACAGTTCAATAAGAAAAGATCTTTTCAAGATCATATGAAACGCAAACATAATCAAAGTATTAAAAAGCGCCCCGAAGGCTATGAAAAAGATAAACTGCATAACTGCCCAATCTGTAATATGTGCTTCAAAAGCCATAGTGCCGTGTTTTATCACAAAAGGCGGAGGCACCCCTACATAGCAACAACAGTCGAAGACGATATAAATGCAAGCAGTAATACCGATACAGAAAAGGAGGATACCGAAAACAGTGAATTAATTAGATGTAAATTTTGCAATAAGGAAATACCTGACAACAGAATAAAATATCATGAAAAACGACATATTTATGCGCTGAACAGGAAAAAGAAATACCTTTGTTCATTTTGCCGTAAGTAAAATAAGAATTTAAGCCGCCTTAATACCTGGTAAAATCAAATAATTCGATAAATTATATTTACGCGATTTAAGCTTACTATAAATAAATAAATAAATAAATAAATAAATGCATGTACATATTTACGTATGAACTACTACTTTAAGAAAAATCACTGACTAATTCTTAGCTTTGGATTTGTTTATCCTTTTCAGCCCGTGAATTTTATTGTGAAACTTCGGTTAAGTTACATGAAAAGAAGATCCATCTGTGCGCAAACCCCGAACGGAAAGAATGTCCAATATGTCAGAAAGAAGTCGATCCAGATTATCTTAAATGTCATATTGACAATGTTCACGCTTCAGAGCGCAAGTTTGTCTGCGATGTTTGCGGCGATTCGTTCAAAAGTTATGTGCGGCTTCAGCACCATAAGAGATTACATTTAGACCGTAAATTTCCGTGTACGGTATGTACAAAAAAATTTATACGCTCAAGTGAACTTAAAGTACACATGCGTAGTCACACTGGTGAAGAACCGTACTCATGTCATATATGTGATCGACGTTTTAAAATCAAAGTTCGGCTCAGCTATCACTTGCAGCAACACGCTGGCATCAAACGAAAATGCAAAGAGTGTGGAAAAGAGTTTAATGACGTTAAACAATTGAAAATGCATTCTTTCAAACACACCGGCATGCCATATAGGTGTTCTGTTTGTGGTTATGCTTGCGCACAACGTAATGTGTAAGTTTATAGTTCGTTAGCTGCGTAATTATATAACTTAATTTATTATTACTCAAATATTTCAGATTTAGGAATCATTTATTGCGAATGCACGATATGACAATGACTCCGGATGAATATTGTGCGATGTTCAAGGCAAATACTGGTCGGAATCCTCACGTTAAAACATTGGAGGAATTAAAATCGGGCGCAAAGTAAGGATCAAGAAAAATTACCAAACTAAATGACTTAAATGGACAAATTAGCTAAAAGATAAATTATTTGAACAAATTTATTAGACTTTCAGCGCTCTATTCAGCTATCATTTTATATGGGCAATTCTCAATTAGCTCGAATAGTCGCATGACTCTGACAGGTTTTATGCGGACACATAATTTCTGCTCCTTTATTAACAAAAATCAGGTTAACCGTCCTGTTCATAGATGGGTACCCGGGTACCTTTTGCATATGGGTGTTTCCAGCGGAAGGTCCACCACGACAAAAAAAATAAAAGTTTTATATCTAACGTATTTACGGGCCGATTTGTCTGCTTTTTAAAATATATACTGGATATGTAAGTAGAATCATGTTTGCATAAAATGGTCTTCCTAGGTGGTGCCAAGGTCGAGATATTTCGAAAAACCGTATTTATGGTCCGATTTGGTTCGAATTTGGCGTATGTGGTTGAAACATAATAAATCATAGATTTCTAATAAATTGACCCTGAATTGGCGCTGAAGTCAAAATATAAAGTATATTCTACATAAAATACATGTTTTATTTGCGTTGAAAATTCATTTAAAAGCAATTTTAACAAAAATATATCGATGGAAATTTGTCACGTGACGCCACGTCACGTCACGTTTCACACTTGGGGTTGTAAAAGAGAATTGAAACAATTTGCATTAATTCAAAAAACTCTAAAAACAACTAAAATTGCTCCAAATTATATTAAAATAAGTTTCATGAAAATAGCCCTCCACAATTCGCAGAGTTTTGCGATTTTGTAAGAAAAGAAAAAATCAACTTCCATTTTTTGTCACGTAACGACACTCTTTAAATGCTTATATATCAGGACCAAGCAGTTCGATTGATTTCATTTTTCGGTTAAATATAGAGCGAATTACATATGTGCTATACAATGGCCCAAAAAAGTTAAAGAAAACGAATGGTTTTCCTTTTTTGTATCACATTGAAATCGTACGACTGCCACGTGCGCCACCATGGGAATGCCCATATTCCACTGCAATTTTTTCATAAACCACTGATACTAAGTTAAAATTTGGTGACATCCTAAAACTTTTAAATTTCTACAAAATGGAGAAAAACTAAATTTAAATATAATTTCATAATTATGGTTTTTTGAGTAAATTAAGTTTTTATTATTAGTTCTAATGGATAGGGTACCTGGGTACCATTACTAGTTCTCATGTAAATAATAATTCGATACATAACATGCAAAAGAACATAAGTTTTTATACCCGAGCGCACTTGTGCATGAGGATATTTTAACGTTGTTCACATAACGGTTGTTTGTATCAGCCAGAACGATGCGAGGTAGATATACTTAGACAAATCGTCGCCTGGGTAAAAGATTGTCGTATGTTAATTTCGGTAGGTTGTGGGAAATCGCGATTGAAGTTTGGAATACAATTTTCCAAAAACGCGAAGATAGATTTTCTCCAAACTCTCTGAAAATGTTACTAGTTCATAAAACTCTTAAATTATTTAATTTTGCGTGCGAACAAGTCGTAAGGTAAAATGAAGCTTTCGCTGCCTTCTAAAGCAGAGTGTGTATGTATACGCGAATATGCCCGCCGGGCAGGCGCCGCCCAGGTCTGGTTTAATATGACTGCATCACTAACTAAATTTTTACTAAATTATTAAAAAAAAAAATTAGTCAATATCTCGGATACTAAAGGAGATATCTAAAAACTGATAACAACAATTGAAAGACTTTATTTCAAAATATATAACTGCATCTAGAACTAAAGAACGTCAAAATGGCGCTTACGACAATCTTTTACCCAGGCGACGAAAATGTATACATAATAAAATTACAGTTTGAAAAACTAAAACCTCCCTATTATAATTGCCATTCTACTGTCATCAGCTATATAACTTGAGAATAGAAATCGCTGCATCTTTTAGGCGCATCAATATTACATAGTTACATCCCGAGGTAATAAAAGGATGGTAAAAAGGTATTCGTACGAGGCGATTTCGCGTTCAACTTAAACTGGCTACACACGACGAACATATCCGCGCACATGTGCGCCAACATGCTCGCTGTCGTTTGCTACAAACGGCGAGCGGCTCATAAGTGATTTTGTACTCAAAGCGTAAACATGGAAAGGAAAGACGCGGATGATGCAATTGAAATACTTATGACTTAGGGTTTTTTATGTATGTGTTACTTAAATTTATTTATATTTTACTTATATGTATGTACATACATATACATATAGTAATTTAGCCTCATTTATCAAAAATTCAATTAACGCACATGGCTTGGATGCATTTATCCGCGATGTGCACACTGCAAGCATCAACACAAAGTGAGGTTGTTGTTTTTGTTTCCAATGCGATGCTCGCAAACCACGCTACAAACGACGAGCATGCTCGCTGAAAATCAAAAATTTTTGATTTTTGGCGAGCATGCTCGCAAACCGCCCTACAAACGACGAGCATGACCCGCAAGCCGCGCATGTGCGCGGATATGCTCGTCGTGTGTAGCTACTGTCACGCAGGCTTGCACGGAAAAAAGTTGAATGGCTAATACGGCGTTTCCACGTTTGGTAATTCGTTCTTTCATTCGTAATTAGCTCTCCCATTCGTCATTCGCCTTTCCAATTACCTTCCGAATTACGTATTTCGCCATACAAAATTTTGACAGCGAATTACCTCATTTGTAGGTAATTCAGATCGAATTACCATGCGAATGACGAACGAATCGGTGCCTTATCTAATATTTATCGGAAATATATCGAAGTTTTCACCGGCCTGGTCCCATTCGCTGGCATTTTTTCTAGTTATAGAATAATATTAATAAAATATTCTTGATATAAATTAAAATCGTTAACTTAAATTTTAGCTTCATCTACGATATTTGCAGTGCACAAAAATAATAATAGGGAATTTACATGAGGCGATTTTTAGTTGAAAGCAACAATCGCCTGGTGTAAACGGCCTTTCAACTAATCGCTTACAATGAAGTTGGTCGGCTGCCTACTTTCGTTCAACTTTTGGTTCAACTAATCGCCTGTGAAAGTTGAATCATGTAAATTCCCTATAATAAACAGCGAAGAATAAGAACAAGAACTAGAGCTGCCCAACGAATTACTAATGAGTGACGTGGAAACAGGGTAATTCACGAATTACTTAACGAATTACTTAGAGCCAATTTACACGACGACTTCACCCTGCGTTTTTGGCACGTTCTATTTTAAAAAAGTCTTCGAAAATTCTCGTGCATTTACACGACGACTTTTTCTTTGCGCCGTTTCTTGCGTATTTTTGACATTTAAGCGTAAAATCTTCTTTGGTCAACTCTTTCGTCCTCAATTTCAAAGCGGAGCGAATCGCGAACTCAAAACAAAAATGCGAAAAAGTGAACTCGATAAAAGCGAAACGTCAAAAAAAACCCTCGATTTCGCTCACCGTGCGTGCTTGCCTACCCCGCTGACTTCGCTACACTTCTTGCCAACAAGCTCGACACGCATGACTTTTCACCCTGGCTCTTAGAGAGCGAATTACGAAGCGTGGAAACATCGTATAAATGTTGGCTGGCGACCAACTTTGTTAAAAGTGATTAGTTGAAAGGCCCTTTAACCAAAAGTGATTTTAATCGGAGGTTTATCGAAACCAGCTCACAAATAAAAACTTATGGGTCGATTACGGATGGCAACACAACCACGCTTCGGTTGTCAGCTGGCAATGCAACTGGAAAGAAAATTTGTATTACGAATGGCAACTAACGTCAGTTGCTGTAGAGTTATCGATAATCGAAATTTGACAGTTCAACAACCAGCAAGCGGCTGCAAACAAGCTGCGCGAGTAAAATTAAATTATTAAAATAAAGAGTTTTAAAGAACAGACAGAAATAAAGCTAAATTTATCACAATTATTTGTTTAGGAGGAAGAGAAATGCATGAACGCGTCCTCAATGAGGCGACACTTAAAGGATAACTCCAATCCTCTAGAGCTACCGCGTTTACTGTAAGCAAAAGTTAATGGTTTCTTTTGTTATCGTTTTGTGTTCATTTTCAAAGCATATTCAGGACCTCCAAAAGAAGCTGTAGTATAATTGGTTAATAAACAGATGAACCACTTCGTTCAACTTCAATACCTCCGCTAATAAAAGCTTGCGCACATCTTCGATTTTTCGCAGAAGGAAGTGCCACAGCAATGACTTTAATTTGGAAAACTAGGTGTGTCGGTAGTTTTAAAAGAGGTGCTTCAATTGATAAAGGAAAAAATTGCAATCAGTGTTCGCTTTTGTTTCGCCAAAAGGGCGTTGTCCACGGGAACTAAAATTTCAAGATATTGGTTTGTTATTTTCACCATATTCTGTAAAAGCAAACTGCAAAGTTCGATTGCTATCGATAATCTACCCATTACATATTTTCTGAGTACGAAAAGTTAAGTTTGTCAATGTGTATATTCCTAATTTAATGTCGGGATGTCTTTGGAAAATGGTTAAAGGGTCATTGCGGTAATTATTACGTATGTAGCTCGAACATACGCAAATACTCGATTGCTGCTATTCATTTGATTAATCTTGCCACCGCTATTAAAATGTCATCTGTAATTAAGGATGAAATACCATGCAGGTATCGATACTTTTTTTCGATACTACTTCCAAGTAAAAAGAGCTACTACTTCCAAGTAAAAGTATCGATACCTACTCAAGAATGATAGAATACAAGATTGCGTCAGTCGAGCTGAAAGCAACTGGTCCACCAACTACCAAAAACGTATGCACATAAAAATACATGTTTACTGTTTAGGTACGTATATCTAGGTACAACTTTTCGGCGAATTGGTACAATATGAAAATTTAATATTCATAACTAGTGCGAAAAAATAATAATGCGATGTCAACGAAAGGATGGATGCTGTCAAATCGAGAAAGAGAGGACTAGCGGTCCGCGGAAGGAGCCACCTTTGTTTCGCTGCATCGTAGATACCTACTCATATCGATATGTTTGGCTATGTAGGTATTTGATTGCATTTTGCTCATGCGAAGTGTCAAACCCGAAGAGTTACCCAGTGAACTTAACATCGCGTACTGAACATTCATCCATCATCGAACATCGACTTTAATGAAGCAATTATAGCGTCTATTTGCACTATATCGACTGTGGCGCATTTGTTGGTTGGCAATTAAACTGCCATAAATAACAAGGCGCTTAATATTGGGAATAACAATGGATGTAAAATTACCGATGCAAAATTTGGGGTACGGTTTAGTACGTTGCCGATCTATTTCGGGGTATTGCGTCCAAAGGGGTGACCCGATCCAAAAAAAAT